TTTCCAACACATAGCATAATTAGATTACAAAATGGAGGATAATTACATAATACTGAGAATCACGGCCTAGCCAAGTTGACACATAGTTTTGGGGGATCCAATTCAATCCATAGCAGTCGCTATGAGTAGGAATCGACTCGATAGTAGACCACAACAACACTGATTTCTTCCCTTGCTACCTTGCTGAACTCATTTATTAGTTTTAGTATTTTTGTCTATGATAGGGTTTCCTTAGGATTGTCTACATACAGGATCCTGTTGATTGCAAGGAAACACAGTTTTATTTCTTCTTTTCACTGAGAATTCTTTTTGCAAGTTCCCTTCTGTTCCTAGTTTGTTGAGAGGTTTTTTTTTTTTTTTTTTTTTTTATCATGAATGGGTGTTGGATTTTTCCCAATGCTTCTTCTGCATTGAGATCATCATGTGTTTTTTCATCCTTTATTCCATGAATATAGTCTACTGACCTTGCATTCCTAGGATAAATCACATTTGGTCATGGTAGATAGTCATTTTTATATAGTGCTGGATTTGGTTTATGAGTATTTTGTTGAGGATTTTTGTCTTTATATTGATGAGGGATATTGATCTGTAGTTTTCCTTTCTTGTGATGTGTGTCTCTGGCTTTGGTGTCAGGGTACTATTAGCCTCAGAGGATGAATTGGGAAGTGTTCCCACTTCTATTTTCTGAGTTCATGAAGGATTTAATATTTGATACAATTCATTGGTGGAGTTTGATTGTGTTTTAATGGGATTTGTACATTTATCAGTATTGCTAAAGTAAATAAGTAAAAAGGCCTTTGCTTTCATCTCTTTAAAAAGTTTGTTATATGGAGATTTTAATTATGATGTAATATAAAATAAAAAGAGAACAAATTATTCTCTCACAGTTCTGGAGGTCAAAGCCTAAAATCAGGGTTAGAGGATCTAGCCAAAAATCCATTCTTTGCCTTTTTTGGTTTCTGGTGGCTGCTGGCATTCCTTGGCTTGTGACCTAATCATTCTAATCTCTGCCACCATCTGTGTATCACCTTCTCTTCTGTGTGTCTGTGTCAAACCTCCCTCTCCCTTGCCTTAATAAGGACACATATGATGGCATTTAAGACCCACCCAGATAATCCAAGATAATATCCTCATCTCGATATTGTTAATTTACTCATATTTGCTAAGTCACTTTTTCCATACAAGATAAAATTTATAGGTTCCAGTAATTGGGATGTGGATATCTTAGGGAGGCATTTTCCAGCTATCACAAATGCCCTATTAATTCCTCTGGGACTTCATTTCCAACTGCACTACTAACATTTTTTCCAGCTACACTATTCTCTTTGCTTTTCTTTGAACACACTGGTGACTGCCTCAGGCCTTTCCCTTTTGGTATTTTCTGTCTCAAGATTGTTCTTCTCCAAATAATTGCATATTACCTCCCTCACTGCATGTAGGTTTTGCTGAGATTGTCACTTTAAAAAAAATTATTTTATTTGTTGTTGAGAGTATACACAGCAAAACAGACACCAATTCCGCAGTTTCTCCATGTCCAATTCCATGACACTGATTACATTCTTCGAGTTATGTAACCATTCTCACCTTCCTTTTTGCAGTTGTTCCTCCTCACTGACCGCTAAGTTTCCTATATAATCTTTCAATATCTCTTGCCAATTTAATCCCATATGTTGTAGTTGGTGTTATGTGCTGTCGAGTGGGACCCGACTCATAGCGACCCCTCCTTGGGTTGCCAAGGCAGTATCACTACGGAAGTAGATTGCCCAACCCTCCTTCTGAGGGTTGGCTGGTGGATTTGAACTGCCAGCCTTCTGGTTAGCAGTCAAGTGCTGTAGGCACTAAGCTAACAGAGCTCCTTAATCTCATATAGATAGATTTTAAAAGAACATAATGCTTAAGGCAGACAGCCTTTACTAATTAAGCTAAACTATTTTTTGGTTTTAAGAAAACTTCAGGGGGTATTTTTGGTCTGAGGTTTAAAGATTATCTCAAGACAAGTTTCAAGGGGTTCGTCTAGTCTCTGTGCCTACAGAAAGTCTGGAGTCCATGAGAATTTGAAATTCTGTTCTTCACTTTCCCCCTTTTGATTAGGATTCTTCTATGGAATCTTTGATCAAAATGTTTATTAATGGTAGCCAGGCACCATCTTGTTCTTTTGGGCTCAAGGCAAAGGAAGCAGTTGTTTACAGAGACTCAGCTTCACATTCCATTTCTTCTTCCTGTTCCTGACTCTCCTTCTTCCTCTGTTGCTCCAGGCAAATAGAGACCAATTGTAGTGCCTTGATCAGCCACTTAAAAGCTTTTAAGAACTCAGGCATTATGCATTGAACTAGGAAGAACTGTCGAGTTGCTTCAATCTCATAGAGATCCTATGAAGAACAGAACAAAGCACTGCGCGGTTCTGCACCTTCCTCACAATCACTGCTATGTTGGAGCCCATTGTTACAGCCACTGTGTCAGTTCCCCTCATTGACGGTCTTCCCCTCTTTCACCAGCCCTCTACTTTACCAAGCATGATGTCCTTCTCCAGGGACTGGTCCTTCCTGATAACATGCCCAAGGTATGAGACAAAATCTCACCTTCCTTGCTTCTAAGAAGCATTCTGGCTGTCCTTCTTCCAAGACAGATTGGTTCATTCTTCTGGTTATCCATGGTATAGTCAATATTCTTCCTTAATACCATAATTCAAAGGCATCAATTCTTCTTTAATCTTCCTTATTCATGTGCAACTTGTGCATACATATGAGGCAATTGAAAATACCGTGCCTTGGGTCAGGCATACCTTAGTCTTCAAAGTGACATCTTTGCTCTTTAACACTTTAAAGAGGTCTTTTGCAGTATTGCAATGCAATACATCATTTAATTTCTTGGCTGCTTTCTCCATGGGCATTGATTGTGGATCCAAGTAAAATGAAATCTGTGGCAACTTAAATTTTTTCTCCATTTATCATGATGGATTTATCATTATTGGTTCAGTTGTGAGGATTTTTCTTTTCTTTATATTGAGCTGTAATCCACACTGAAGGCTGTAGTCTTTGATCTTCATCAGTAAGTGCTTCAAGTCTTAGCTTTCAGCAAGTGAGGTTGTGTCTTCTGCATATCACAGGTTGTTAATGAGTCTTCCTCCAATCCTGATTCTGTATTCTTCTTCATAATCCAGATTCTCAGATTATTTGCTGAGATGTAGATGTCACCTCTTCAGTCAGGACCTCTTGACTTACTTTATTTAGGATCATATTTTCTCCCCATTTCACTCCTATCCTTCTGCTAAAATGTTCTCCATAAGGTTTATTACCTTTGACAAAATCTGCTTTACTCATTTATTTATTTTATTACCTGTCTTTCCTCATTTAGATGTTAGGTCTGTGATGGCAGGGATTTTTGTTTGCTTTGTTCCATGCTGTATCCTCAGCACTTGGAATTTTGCTGGTACATAGTAGGTGTTCAACCAAGTATCAGTTAAATAGGTGAATAAATGAGTGTTCCACATTGACCCTGGAGTGATCTTTCTCAAAACCATTTTCCTCTGCTTTAAAACCGTTTGGGGATTGATTCTCTTTGCCTGTGCACTCAAAGATGGCCTCCTAGGCATGCCTGCTGAGTTTCATCTGATCCAAGGCTGTTGTTTCAGCCTCATTTCCTATGGTCTCTCTTAAAGCACCCTCAGCTCTACCCACACTTAGTTTCTTTTTGTTCTTTTGTGACTTTTTATTCTTTTGTGATTGTGGTTATATATAACAAAACACTTGCTGTGTCAACCATACTTATATATACCATTCTACGACATTAATTTGTCATGTTGTGCAACCATCATCACTATACATTTCCAAGGTTTTTCGTCACTTGTAAGCAATAACTTCCCCTTCTCATCCACTTCTGGTAACTGATTTTGAAATATGCATATAGTCATGCCTAACTAGTCTGAAAATGAACATGTCACCTGTCTAAAGCATAATGGAAAACAAAGACAAGAAACCTTCCAGCACTCAAACTAGATTCCCCAATATCCATGTATTTTACTCAATTGGAGAGTGCCACTGGGTTCTATGGAGAGTCTATTTACTCTTATAGTACATACAGTACCAACAGGTTTGGATATCTGGGTTCTCATCTTATAGTAGATTGTTGTTGTTGTTGTTATATGTCCCTCTTTGGGTTTCCCAGGTGATATCACTATGGAAGTAGATTGCCCAACCTTCCTTCCGAGGATTAGAAGTCACAATTTAGAACAAAGTGGAAAGCTCCTTAGTGGAAGTCAATGGTTAAGAAGTGTTTCATATCATTCTGACACAGAGGGAGGAGGCATAAAAATAAAGAAGATAGAAGAATTCAAAAAGCAAAACATTTTGAAACCATTTACTGTCAGGGCAGATTATTCTAAATGCCTAAATTGCCTTTGAAGGCATAATGCTGTAAGAGATGTTTGCAATAGTAAACTTGGGACAACTAGAAAAGAATAAATTAAGATCAGTGATAAATTACCAGCTGTTTGGAAAAGCTAACTATCCAGAAAGCTTTTCATCTCCTGGAGGTTCCAGATAACTGAAGTTTTACTAGATTCTCAGTGGAGAGAGTAATGGGTTGACTGTGACTGGCTTGCATTGTACTTGGCAATTACATTGCCCCTTTCTTGCTAATGTATGATCAGGATGGAATGAAGATGGTAGGCTGTTTGGAAGTAGGAGAGATCATGATTGACGGAATGCAGGAGAAGAAAAACCTAACAGAATATTCAGCTGTGAAGAAGCCCTTAAGACCTGCTCTATGCCTGTGACTTACTCTTTTTACACTGCATAGCAACCCAATGCTTCTGCTTTGAAGTAGAGTCAGTGATGTCTCCCCTATAGAAACATAAATATGCATAGAGTGTGGGATGGGAGGTCCAGGGCTGCACTAGCTAAAAGGAAGGGCTATTTGGAGGAGGTCAGAAGGCCTACTGGGTGATCCATTGCTTAATTCCTGAATGGTAATGTGAAAAATGTCACTTTTTTATCATGCAGCAGAACTAGGAGACTTTCAGGAAGAAACAGATAAGAAACATCTGGCACAAACGCGGTACTTACCAAACCAAGACTGTTTAGAGAGCAAGATACTGCACTTTCATCAGAAACACATGTAAGTAC